TTAAATAAATGCCTCCTCTTTCTTACTGAATTCTTATCCTCGGTTTCTTTGTGTTGCTTGTCTACATATAACAATTTGTCTGTTCCTGTTCATCCCTGAAATCCTGGGCTTAATTGAGCAAATGTTTCTCTTGTTCCTTGACTGATGTGATATCACTCAGCATTCGTATGCCTGGAAGCTTTGTTTCAGGTAGGCATGGAAGAGAGTTCAAGATTGCGGAAGGAAGGAAGGAAGGAAGGAAGGAAGGAAGGAAGGAAGGAAGGAAGGGAGGGAGGGAGGGAGGGAGGGAGGGAGGGAGGGAGGGAGGGAGGGAGACTACTCTCCCCTTTATGGTCCCCACCCCATTTTTCTTTCCATGCCAGGTGGTGGGATCCCTGACTGCCCCAAAGCTAAGGCACCAATCCTGTCCTTCCTGAGCAGTTGCTGCAAGGAAGACTAGAGGGCCAGGATTGTACCCCGAAGGGCTTTGCCAAGAAAAGATCAGAGATGACACCTCTACAGCTCTGTCATTGCAGCTCCTTTTCCTTCCCTTTGCCTGGTTTCTCCTCTTGCCTGTCAGGATGTGTTTATTTGCCTCATTCACACTGATGCCACACATTTCAGTTCAGAGTTTTGCAGGCACTCTGCTTATCACAAATCTACTCTGTGCCTTCATTACATAATTATATTCCATGCTAATGTTGTTGGTGTAATAATGTTGCTTGCTTTTGTTACTTTACGAGGAGGAATTCACGACCCGGGTTGCAATAAGCTTCCACTTGCTCTTCTAAGGTAGGGGAACTCCCAGTTCTGGGCCATCCTGATGCGAGGAGGAGGGCGGAGAGCGGGGGGCGGGGGGCGGGGGAGGACACATAACTCAGGTTTGAATTTCCTGAAGGCTCTTCCATCTTGGAGGGATTCCACTCCTCCCCAGTTGGACACTGGAGAAGCCTCCAGCCAAGCACTGGGTTAGGACCTCCACATCATCGGTTTGCCCCAAGGACCAAATTTATAACTGGGTGTCATCAATAAGCTGATGACCATCATCATTGTGACATCATGACGGGATCTCATGAATTAGCCTCATGAAGATGTTAAAAAGGAATGGGGAGATGAGAAGCCCCTGAGGAACTCAAGAAAAAGAGGGGATCCCTGCAGAACCCACCATTCCAACTCCTTGCAGACAGCCCAGAAGGGTATCGTGGAACTGAAAGCCACTAAGAAGAAGAACCAATGGGGCTATCCACCCCTTTCCGATTCCAGGAATCCCCACAAGCACAACTAATGTAATTCTGCTGCTGGATCTAAATCCTGATCTAACCCACTGGCCCCAGGGATCCAAATTACCTCTAGGGCTCTTGACTGCTTCTTCCAGATCTCTTCTAGAAAAGGAAGGTTGGAGACAGTTCTAGATTCCCTCCAAAGCAGGTGGAGTGAAGGCTTCTGCAGGAGGGGGAGTAGAGATGGAGGAAACATCTTTTCATTACAAGAAGCAGCACTGATGGCTGCTTAGAAGAAGTGTCTACATTCTCAGGATTCATAGATTTAAAAAAAGGAGCCCAGATCACAACATAAAGTAAGAGGCTTCTCTATTCAGGGGTAGGCAACCTTGGCTCTTTTATGACTCGTAGACTTCAACTCCCAGAAGTCCTGAGCCAGCCATGCTCAGGAATGCTGGCTCAGGAATTCTGGGAGTTGAAGTCCATGAGTCATAAAAGAGCCAAGGTTGCCTACCCCTACAGCCCAGCTTCTCTAGAATACAAGCCATTTCCAGTGCAATTCTGAATTACACATTCAAATGTCCTTTCAGCCTGAATGGTTTGACTTCAGATCCACAGTCGGTGACGATTTATGGCACTGGTGCAAATACAGAGGAATTATTTAAGATCAACAACATTCCTTCAGCTCAAGATGGCCTTACTCTGGGCTGCTGAAGACTGATGGAATGCAAAATTAGCCCTTAAACCGAAAGTGGCTAAATCATCTGGCAGAACTCAGAAGGTGCCTCTGCAGCAGCAGACTTCACCCAAAGCATAACACCGTCCAGGCACACATCACAAAGGTGAGGTTCTGGAGACGCAACAGGCCACAGGTGCGTTGCTCAAGATCAAGAAGAATGTTTGCCTACTATGGAAGAATGGATACTTAAGGTGTCTAATTTAGCAGAAATGGCAAAAATCTCCGCTTATTTGAAGGATTATTCACAAGAAAAATATATTTCGGTTTGGAGAAGATGGATTGATTATATTCAGAATAAATATGAGACTGAAAAGTATTATTTAGCTTATGAGTAAATTTTAGATTGTCATTAATAGTTTAATATGGTTGAATTTATATTATTTTTATTATTATTTTTTAATTATATTATTATTTTTGTTTTTAATTTGTTAATGTTTATCTTGAAAAGGAGTTAAAGTATGTTATGGATTTGATTGCTAATGTAGTTGGGTAATGTTAGTTAGATTATGATTGTTTATTTTTAACCCTGTAATCAGCTTTGGGAAGTGGGGGAGGGGGGAAGGGGTGGGAGGGATTTGGGATATATATTGTATAAAATCTTTAAAACTTTTAATAAAAAAAAGGATCAAGAAGAATGTGTGAGGCATGGAATAAAATGAAGAGGTCATATTCTGCTTGAATGTCCTAAGAGAGGTGCAAGAATGGAAGAACCCATATCCAGAGATACTGATGGTGGCGGTTCAGGATGGGGTGGGTGGGTGGGTGGGTGGGCTTTGGTGGGATGCCTTTCAAGAGGAAACTTAATGGTCATATTTTCTGGGGGCTTTCAACACAATGGTTGGCTGAGCAGGGAATTTGATTCCAGTTCTAATTTTAGGAATTAAAGATTCTAAGCTTTAATAAGGTATGCTAATTAATAAGCAAAATTGAAAAGACACGCACCGATTTAGATTTAAAGTTAGATAACTTATGCGGTCAGTGAAAATACTTTTACGTTGAATTTCAGCAATTTTTTGTGAACCAATCACAGAATAATGTGACCTTCCACTGACTAAACCGTAACGCAGAGCATTTCTGCCTTTTATTTTTTTGTTTTTAATGTAACAATTTGTTAATTTGACTGTTTCTTACATTTTAATTAATATGGTTAATATTACTTCCCTTCAAGGCATGAAGGCTGCATTTCTACTACACACCCAAATCAAGCTGAAACTGGATTTGGGGGGGGTTATAGTTAAGTCTGCGCAATCCATTTCTTTGGAGAGAAGTTGGTTTCAAAGACAGGATGAGGCTGGCCAGAAAAGCCTCAGGGCCTCAGGGCCCAAGCCCGAACAAGAGGATGGAGGGCAACTACTGATCAAGGGGCATTGGCCATGTGCCAGCACACCTGCAGTGGTCCACCTGCCTGGCCTGCAAGACTTTGGTTGCATGTGGGAAGAGGGCATGGGATCCTGGTGGTTTTTCTGGGCCTCAGAAGACTAGGAATCACAAGTTGGGGCAAAGCCAGCGCTCAGGCCCCCCAGAGGGGGTTTGTCCTTCTAGGGTTCCTTCTCCTTTGGCTGCTCTGTGTGTGGCCACCCAAGAGCCAGAACTGACAAGCGCCGAGGGTGGACAGATCCCTTGCAGTGAGACAGAAGAAGAGAGACTTCAGGCTGGCTGGTCCACCCGCCTGGCAGTGGGACTGGAAGGCTTGTTCTGACTTCCTTACTTATGACTCCGTTTCTAAAAGGCTCCGGTGCCCCTCATTGAGCTGGAGTCTGGGGAGAGGCCCTGGGACAGCCAATCAGCAACCCAGCAGGCCTGGCAAGGCAGCAACTGGGTCAGGACTGGAGAAGCCATTCTTGTCCAAGCGACCTGCCCAGTACTCCCCTCCCCCACAGTCCTAGGAAGCCACATAACAAGATGGCCCGATTGAGAGTCGCTCTCTGACTCATGGGTAACCCTTGAGAAAGGGGCTGTGCTGGGCACGGGGCTTGGCTTTGCCACCCAACTGCGGCCTCTAGGGGACTACCACTGGGTCTGTGGTTCTGCTCATCCTTTTCTCGGAGCAGAGGACCCCCCCCCCTTCCTCAACAGCTGTGCCTCAAGGACTGTGCACAGGTCTCTCAGCCTTGTCTGTGGAAAGCAGGGCATGAAAGTCCCTCAATTTGCCCCTGTCTGGTCCCCATACCTGGTCCTAGGCAGCCTACTGGCCTGCTTCTCTCTGATTGGCGGCACGCAGAGACTGAGGCCCTGCCTCCCCTTGCGCCTGCATTCGTCTGCCTTGTCCCCACTAGGGTGGGGCGGCCCACCAGCATAATTCCCCCCCCCATTCCAACACCAATCTTGACTCTTCAGCCCTCTCTGGACTAGCAGTAGACCATACCTCTTGCCTCTGGCCCTCTTCCACCCCCCACCCCCACTGCCAGTCCACTCCAGGGAGCTTTTTCCTAGCTGTTCCATTCTCTCATTCCCAAATCCCAGCCGGGAGGTCTGACAAGTTGTTCATCCAGGCTCTGGGACTACTGTAGTTCTTGACGTGTATTGCAAATGCAGGAAAGGAATGTATTCAGATCCCTCCAACAGCCGATGCCCCTCCCAAGCTCCCACCACCACAGATTCTCCCGAATCCCAAAGGTCCTCGGACCCTCTGTCTGCCGCGGTTGTTCTGGAGCAGCCCCTTGGCACGGCTGAATAGCCAGCTTTGCGCGGCCGAGGGCTTCACTTAAGCCGCCGCTGGTGTCTCCCACGCGTGATCGTGCCTCCCGATTCCCGGTTCCCTGGGCTTTTGCGCCGAGATGTAGCAGCGGGACACCGTGGCTTGGTCGCGCGACGTAGCGGGCCGCAGAGAAATCCGGCTCGGCGGGGCTTACGGAGCCTCCAGGCCGCCCTGACTCGTTGGGAGGGGGGGGGCGGGAATGCCGAAGCGCTTACGGCCAAACGGGGAGAGATGCGCTGTCCCTTGGCGGTCTGCCTGCCTCTCCCCGCCCGCAGGCCGGTCCGAGTTTGCCAGCTTGTCCCTAAAAGGTGCTGCTTGGCCGGCGGGGGAGGGACCGGCCCCTCCCCAGCTTTTAGGCAGCGCCAGAGGTCCGGGGCGCCCAGCCAGCACCCGCCACTCCCGGCTCCACTCCGCTCCTTCGCGTCTCCGCCGCCCGTCCTCTCCTTTTTCTCCAGCCGTCCGTCCCGTCGGTCTCCCCAGCCGCCGCCGCCATGGAAGCCATCAAGAAAAAGATGCAGATGCTGAAGCTGGACAAGGAGAACGCGATAGACCGAGCCGAGCAGGCGGAGGGGGACAAGAAGCAGGCGGAGGACCGGTGCAAGCAGGTGACTCGCCCGTGATTGGCCCGGAGAGCTGGAACCCATCTGGAGCCTCTGACACGGGCCCCCCCGGCTCCCCAAGGCCCCTTAACCTTCTTTCTGGCCGGGCACATGGGCTCGGGGACTCTGGGTGCCCTTCGGAAAGGCAAGGGAGGCCCTTGGTCCCTCTCCCCTCTCCTAAGGTGGCGGGGGTCCAGAGGGGCACCCCGTGGCTCTGAGTTCAGGGCGGCCTCTGCCTTCCCCCGCTTCCCCCCTCCTCTCCCCAAACCCCCTCTCCCGTTAAGGCTCGCTGGTGGGCAGCAACGTCCCAGCCACAGCGCCGTTTGACTCCCGGCCGCCTTTCTCTCTCTCTCCCCCCCCCCTCCCCCGTCCCTCTCCCGGTAGCTGGAGGAGGAAAAGCAGGGCCTGGAGAAAAAGCTGAAAGGAACCGAGGATGAAGTGGAGAAATACTCCGAAGCGGTCAAGGAAGCCCAGGAGAAGCTGGAGATGGCCGAGAAGAAGGCGGCCGACGTAAGTCAAGGGAAGGGTGGCGGGGCGGGGCGAGGCGGGGCGGGACGGACTCCGTGGGAGAGTGCTTTCGGGGTAAGGGTCGAGCCTGCGGGGCGGGGTCGGCCGGGGCGCCCTGATGAGCAGCGGCAGATGAGATGCGACGCCCCTGCAGGTATTCCGAGCGCGTTAAGCCTCGAGCAGCTGCTGCCTGCGGCGCCGGGGAGGATTCCGCGCAGGGTGGATAGGACCGCCCGGAGCTTAAAAGAGGCATCGCCGGGCGCCGCGCCAGCCGCCCGAAAACCTGTCGAAGTCCTGCAGTTACAATTCCTGAGCTCCCTCCGCTATTCCGGGCAGACCGGCTTTGACCCCTGCCGAGAAGGCCGCGCAGGTGGCCGCGGGCCGGTCGCTGGTAATGTTAACGCCCAGCCTTCGCAAAGGCACTCGGCACCCTATAAATAAACGCTCCTTTCCAAGCCGGGCCCGCGTCTGGGGAGAAACCAATCCGGGAAACTTAAGGAGCTGCTAAAACGGAGCTGCCACTTGGAGGACAGCCAGCGCACAGCCCGGTGGTCAAATACCCCGGCGACGAGCAGGACCCACGGCTGGGAAAGCTGGCCAGGCTAGAAGGGAAAGCAACAGGCGGCCCAGAGACATGGGGACGGGGCCATATCAAAAGAGGAGGAAGAGAAAGGCTCCGGCAGGCCTGCCAGTTCCCCAGAGCTCAGAGCGTGAGGAATGGAAGCGCCGGCCCCAGATCTGTGCTTGGACCCCCCCAGCCTTGGCTGGTGGGCCAAATCATGCAGCAGAGACGGGAGGGCAAGGCAGGGGCCCTGCACAGAGAAGCTCCAGGTGCTGGAACAGAGTCTCCTAATTCACCAGGGGCAGCTTCTTCGTGGGGCCACCTGCCCTTTCCAACGTGCAGGCCCTTCCATGCTGATGCCCACCGGAGAAGCCAGGCTCCACTGCTGAGATGTGCAAAAGGATCCCAATCGTCGGGAGTGTCTGGAAACCCGGCCTGACTGGGACTCAGCTCAGAAAGGAGCCCTTTCCCTGCCTGGAGCACTTGGATCTCCTCTACCCAGGGCACCCCCAGCATCAGAGAACTGCTGCCCCCCTTGCCCCCAACCCATGAGAACCCAAAGTGCCCCCAAGATTCCTCTCCCCTCTCCCTAGGCAGGAGTAGGCAACCTCGGCTCTTTTATGACTCATGGACTTCAACTCCCAGAATTCCTGAGTCAGTTCTTCTAAGTTCTTTTGCCAGTTCTTCTAAGACAGCTGACTCAGGAATTCTGGGAGTTGAAGTCCATGAGTCATAAAAGAGCCGAGGTTGCCTACCCCTGCCCTAGAGGATCCCCACACTTCCTGGGGCCAGGGATTTCAGCAGGAGCTGGAAGAAAGAGGGAGCACTGCCGCCCTCCTCTGGCTGCCTTGTCTCCCTCTCGCCTTTGCTCATATTTGGTGATTCCCTGCGCCAGGGGAAGGAGGTGGGGCTGACGGGGAGGAGCAATGCTTTGGAAAGTCCAGCCGCTCTTCCCTCATGGTGGCCCCATCGGCCTCTACTGCACCCCAGGATCCAGTGTCCTCCTTCCGTCCCTGTGCAGAACCCCCACATCACCCAGCTTTCTGGACTGCTGGATTTTAAGGGAACTGAAAGTGAACACGCAGACAGACACCTGTACTACGGAAGTCTTAGGACCACTGTGATCCAATCACTCAGGGGATCAAGAATCGAATCCTGCGGCAGGAGAATTGAACGGGAAAGGGTTGCCCAAGATGGGTGGAAGTTCCTAAAGAAAAGCAAAACGAAACGGCAAGCAATTCTGGTGAGGAGAAAAAAAACAGAAGACGCTTTACAAGCCAGTGGGATTGCAGAAAAAGTGTAGTAAAGATCTGAAAATAAGCAACCCAAATGAAAAGAGACTCAGGTCACGAAGGAAGAGAACAGACAAGCCGTCTTGAATTGTTTGCTGGCATCAAGAAAGCAAATCTCTGAAGAGTTTAGCAGAAGACGCTTATAAAAAGGGCTTTAGTTACCTCCAAAATAAAAAGAGCCAGTCCTGCAGCTGCTCAACGAAGAAAGCAACACACTAACAGGCAACACTTTCCATCTCCTATTTCGGTCCAGTCTTCTCTACCCCCCCCCACCCCAGTGTTTTCCATCAGACACTGCGAGAGATGGGCTGAATAGCAGGAATGAAGCCTGAGATGAGAGAAATGGCAGCCAGATGGAGGAGAGCATCAAAGAGCCCTGGAGAAGCACAAATACCTGTCTTCAAAAAAAAAAAAAAAAAAAAAAATGGAGGAGGGGCAACAATAAAGAACAAGTGAAGCTTTCTGATATTTCTGCCTTGGAAGACCACAGAGCAGTTCATAAAAAGACTGATCTATAAGCATTCCAATGTGGTAATCAACAGAAACCACCATGGATTTCCAAGTGGAATCTTGCCAGATTACTCTTATGCAGTGTTTGTTCATGTAACTTCCTTAATAAATTGTGGGGAATGTACCTATTGATTTCAGCAAAGCACTGCTGCACCCCCCACAATATGCTGATTAATGAACTAGTTAAGCATGGCTGGATGGCCTTGGAATTAAAGACCTCCAGAGCTGCCTTGAAAGTAATTCTTGTAGCATGACGATCAAAGCTTTTTGCAACAGACTGGAGGAAATTGTTTGGATGCCACAAGGGTTAACCCTGGGTTCTCTACTCTTCAATATTTTCATTAATGAGTTGAATGCTGATCAAATCTGAAGGCAGCTCAGCTTTTGATAAGATAGCTAATACCCCAGAGGACAGAAATAATAATCAAAACTATCCTTGGAGGTTGGAGAAATGAGCTGAACAGAATGAATTTAACAAGACTGGTGCCATGTTTCTTCAAATGCAATGCCAAAATTTTATCCAATGCGCGTGCGCGCACACACACACACACACACGGATACCAGGCTTGATAACTGTACTTGCAAAAAAACAACAACCTTGGGGTCGATTGCAAGTGAGTTTAAAGTAGTGGTGGCGAACCTATGGCACGCGTGCCAGAGGTAGCACTCAGAGCCCTCTCTGTGGGCATGCGCGCCGTTGCCACAGCAGAGTTCGCCAGAGTAGCGAGCACGTGGTGTTTGGAAACGACAGGGCAGGAAGTGAGTGAGCAAGCGGCATTGGCCCCCCGGGGATGCCCCGGAGATGGTGAGGGACTGGCCCCTGCCGCCCTGGCCCCAGCCACACTCACCCAGTCTGCCGTGACCACTGCAATCATGCCCACCCAGTGGGCCATGCCCCCCCCCGAGGCACCACAATGCTGATGCAGCCCTGGCACTTTGCGATAAATACGTGGGTTTTGGGTTGCAGTTTGGGCACCCGGTCTCTAAAAGGTTCGCCATCATTGGTTTAAAGCAATGGTTCTCAACCTATGGGTCGGGACCCCATTTGGGGTCGAACGACCATTTCATGGGGGTCGCCAAACAAGGCTGTCCGTCATTTTTTCCCCCTTTGGCCACGCCCCTGGCACCCAGTGATGTATAAGTGGTTGGGGGTCACCACAACATGGGGAACTGTATTATGGGGTCGCGGCATTAGAAAGGTTGAGAACCACTGGTTTAAAGCAATCATGTGACATGGCTGCCAGGATGAAAATCCTTAGGCTGCCGGACTGTGGTTCCAGGTTAATTGTGCTCCAGCCATCTCAAGGGCGGTTTTGTGCTTTAGGAAGAGATACTGAAATGAAATGCCAGGGACCGCCTGGAAGGACATCCCACCTTTTCCAGGTTTGTCCTTCCATCTTTCCAGTCTGTGGAACATGTCCATTTGTCTGCAGCACGACTGCTGCATCTCTGACTTCTGGCCAGCCACAACTCAGCCTGGTTGGCCAGGCCCTGAAGAGCATCACAGTTCTGTCACATTGTTGTGACTCTGGAGAGCAAGAGTTCTCTTGAACAGACAATTGAATGGACATGCTGAGGGGGACAGACTGGGTCAAGACAGGCTGGGCTTAGCATGGTGCCAGGATGCCAGGAGAACTCATGGCACTGGCCCTTCTTGGGTAAGAGCGATATCAGGCAAGCTTCGCCAGACTGTGAAAAGGAGAGGACCAGAGGGCAGGAGTGGAGCCAGCAGCCAGACAGAGGAGCAGGGGAAGTGCAGCCAACCCATAGAAAGGAGGGTGAAAAAAACCCAGAACTGCTTTCCCAAATCAAGTATCAGCCAGTCTGAAGCTGAAATCCCCACACAGATCCTTCCTTGGGACCAGCTGTGGAGAAAGGAATTCTTTTAAAAAGAACAGTGAGATTTAACATGCTGCTGGAGACACTTTCTCACAATGCTTCTTCCTTCAAATTCCTTCGTAATGCTGTACGTGCTTGGAAGTCAGGCCCCAAACTGGTCTTTGGCTGTTCCAAAACCAGAGTTCCTGCCCTGTTTCAGACCAGAGACAAGGTGGAGATGAAGAGAATGGGCTGGCCTTGCTGGGTAGAAAGCAAACCTATCCAGGTCAGTTAAAGTTTGCCCAGTAGCAAAGGCTGGCTGCAGATTTGCTGAGCAGATGGTTGGGAAAAGTCACTTCCTGTAACTCTGGAGAGACAGAACCTCCAAATGGGAGATACCTTTATTTGCAACCCTCATCCGAGAGAAAATGCTCAGAACTGCCTTCTGTGGGTTGAGAGAGTCACCGCCTGGGTTTCTCTCTGCGGTCCTGATTCTTGGCTGCCTGCCCACCTGCCACTGTGCTGAGCAGATTGCTGCGCTGTTTGCTTCAGGATTTTAGATGAACTTACACCACCTGGTTTCCAGCAGCAGAAACTCTGACTTCACAGACTCTGTTCTTGACTCCCACCAGTGGTTTTTTGGCTCTCTGTGGGAAAGGAGAAGGCCGTCATCTGTCCCTTTTTTCAGCTGGGGAAGTCTCCGGCAGAGTTGCGAGTCTGAGGACATCCCTCACCTGCCCCTCTGCCCACCCTAGCCAAGAGCCAGACTCTTTCCTTCAGCTAGCTGGGCATGAACAAGGACAGAAAGATGGCAGCTGATG